TTGGAGAACTGTCTCTTTAGTCCTTTGGCCCACTTTCTGATTGGGTCATTTATTTTTCTGGTACTGAGCTGCATGAGCTGCTTGTATATTTTTGAGATTAATTCTTTGTCAGTTGCTTCGTTATGCCATTTTTCTCCCATTCTGAAGGCTGTCTTTTCACCTTGCTTATAGCTTCCTTTGTTGTACAAAAGCTTTTAGTTTATTTTTGCTTTTATTTCCATTACTCTGGGAGGTGGGTCATAGAGGATCTTGCTGTGATTTATGTCAGAGTGTTTTGCCTATGTTTTCCTTTAGGAGTTTTTATAGTTCCTGGTCTTATATTTAAATCTTTAATCCATTTTGAGTTTTTTTGTGTATGGTGTTAGAAAGTGTTCTAGTTTCATTCTGCTAATGGTAGTTGACCAGCTTTCCCAGCACCAGTTGTTAAAGAGATTGTCTTTTCTCCATTGTATATTTTTGCCTCCTTTGTCAAAGCTAAGATGTCCATAGGTGCGTGGATTTATTTCTGGGCTTTCTATTTTGTTCCACTGATCTATATTTGTATCTTTGTGCCAGTGCCATACTGTCTTGATGACTGTGGCTTTGTAGTGTAGTCTGAAGTCAGACAGGTTGATTCCTCCAGTTCCATTCTTCTTTCTCAAGATTGCTTTGGCTATTCAAGTTTTCTTTCTATTTCTATACAAATTGTGAAATTATTTGTTCTAGTTCTGGGAAAAATACCATTGGTGGCTTGATAGGGATTGCATTGAATCTGTAGATTGCTTTGGGTAGTATATTCATTTTCACTATATTGATTCTTCTGATCCATGAACATGGTATATTTCTCCATCTATTTGTGTCATCTTTGATTTCTTTCATCAGCGTTTTATAGTTTTCTATATAGAGTATTTTAGTCTTGGTGAATGGGATTGTTTCCTTAATTTCACTTTCTGTTTTCTCATTGTTAGTGTATGGAATGCAAGGGATTTCTGTGTATTAATTTTATATCCTGCAACTTTATTCTTTGATTAGCTCTAATAATGTTCTGGTGGTGCCTTTAGGGTTTTCTATGTGCAGGATCATGTCATCTGCAAACAGTGAGAGCTTTACTTCTTCTTTTCCAATATGATTCCTTTTATTTCTTTTTCTTCTCTGGTTGCTATGGCTAAAACTTCCAAAACTATGTTGAATAGTAGTGGTGAGAGTGGGCACCCTTGTCTTGTTCCTGACTTGAGGGGAAATTCTTTCAATTTTTCACCATTGAGGATAATGTTTGCTGTGGATTTATCATATATGGCTTTTATTATGTTGAAGTATGCTCCTTCTATGCCTGCTTTCTGGAGAGTTTTTATCATAAATGAGTGCAAAAACTGATTTTTATTGTAAAAATAAGGACAATACAAACAAAACGATATTGAGGAATCCCAGCTGGCCTGAAGGCTTTTCTCCTGACATCTGCCCTCTTTCTAGTAAGAAAACAAATTTACCAAGTGGTAGAAGACAGAAACTCCAAACTAAAATGTCTTATTCTCTTATCAAATATATTGACAGGGAGTACATGTCCATGCCTTGTAAACAGTGACCACTAGTTGAAACTCCTCTTTTTATAGATACGATACCCATATACTTATCCAACTTTATACTAATAACCAGATAGAGCATTTGAACTTATGAAGGTACAATGCCCCCTGATTCTGTAGCTCAGATTCTTAATTGTGCTGAAGATATACCTGGGATAAAGAAAACATTATTAGGGCTTCCTTGGTCGCTCAGTGGTAAAGAATCCATCTGTTAATGCAGGAGACACAGACCCAATCCCTGATCTGGAAAGATCCCATATGCTACAGAGCAACTTAGCCCGTGTACCACAACTGTTGAAGCCCAAGCACTACAACTAGAGAGTAGCCCCTGCTTGCCACAACTAGAGAAAAAGCCCATACAATAAGGAAGAACCAGCACAGCCAAAAATAAATATTAGCTTAACATGCACATTCTGAGCTTTTGGTTAGATATAAAGTATTGAAACTTTCTGTGTTTACTATAATTTTTTTTAATTGTCCTTCTAGGTAACTGAAGAACAATGATTCAGGGGTAGTCTTATGGGTTAAAACGTTTTCATTATTATAACTGCTTCAACTATGATATTATTTGTTGTTCCTTCTTTAATTCTGTATAACAGAATTATTGGGTTAGAGCTTCCATATCCTGTCCAAGAAAAGAAGCTAGGAAACTTACACAATACAGAAAGGAATAGGAACGACTGGTACAGACACTTGGCACTGGATAACAACTCTGGAACAAAGCTGAATTGAGACCAGTAGTCAAATTCTGTGGCCTTAAAGAACTGAAACTGATGTAGTTAACCATCTACCCCAAATTAATGCTTAACAAGCCCTGTGATTTAACATGTTAGGAAGAAGTGAATTTAGTTTGTTTTATCCAAATCAAGTAGATTATTCTATACATAAAGGATCTTTTCCTAGTAGCAGAACTAGGTATATTCAACCTAACGAATTGATGATTATTATTTTTTCTCTTTCCTTTGAATATGATTTATTTTTGAGAAGACAAATGTCCTGCAATCTTCTGAATACCACCCTCTCTAGTGTAAGGACGTGGAGTCTTAACTATCCAGTGTTCTGTTTAGATATGCTGGTCTTGTGTAGAAGGAGCCTTTCAGTTTTTGCCAGGCTAGCAAATCCTCAGATAGTTTTCTTCAACAAAGGAGGGTACACTGAGGGTAGAGGGAGGTTTTGACAGGTAAAAACTGCATTTCTGCCTCTAAACACATTTAATACTGGGTCCCAGAAGATTTTAGACAGTAACAATCATCAATATCTGGTGTCTAAAAACATGTGAAATAATGAATATATCTCCCTAAGTTACATATACAGTAGTTTAGTTTGCCAAGTCTGTGATTCACCTGACTAATTGCTGGTGACCTTAACATAATTAAGATTAAGCCTTTACCAATAACCATTTAAAATTTGGAAGGGAAGCATACTTTATTTGCATGTGGTGGTGCCATGCTGAATTAAAGTAACTTCCCCTTTGGTACTCTCACCATATTTTTAAACCAGTTTCCTCTTTCTTTAATCCTCCTAAGCATTAGATTCAGTAAAGTTCAGTTCAGTCGCTCAGTCATGTCCGACTCTTTGTGACCCCATGAATCACAGCACGCCAGGCCCCCCCGTCCATCACCAACTCCTGGAGTTTACTCAAACCCATGTCCATCGAGTCGGTGATGCCATCCAGCCATCTCATCCTCTGACATCCCCTTCTCCTCCTGCCCCCAATCCCTCCCAGCATCAGGGTCTTTTCCAATGAGTCAACTCTTCACATGAGGTGGCCAAAGTATTGGAGTTTCAGCTTCAGCATCAGTCATTCCAATGAACACCCAGGACTGATCTCCTTTAGGATGGACTGGTTGGATCTCCTTGCAGTCCAAGGGACTCTCAAGAGGCTTCTCCAACACCATAGTTCAAAAGCATCGATTTTTCGGCACTCAGCTTTCTTTATAGTCCAACTCTCACATCCATACATGACCACTGGAAAAACCATAGCTTTGACCAGATGGGCCTTTGTTGGCAAAGTAATGTCTCTGCTTTTTAATATGCTGTCTAGGTTGGTCATAACTTTCTTTCCAGGGAGTAAGCATCTTTTAATTCCATGGCTGCAATCACCATCTGCAGTGGTTTTGGAGCCCCAAAAAATAAAGTCTGACATTGTTTCCACTGTCTCCCCATCTATTTCCCATGAGGTGATGGGACCAGATGCCATGATCTTAGTTTTCTGAATGTTGAGCTTTAAGCCAACTTTTTCACTTTCCTCTTTCGCTTTCTGCCATAAGGGTGGTGTCATCTGCATATCTGAGGTTATTGATATTTCTCCTGGCAATCTTGATTCCAGCTTGTGCTTCTTCCAGCCCAGTGTTTCTCATGATATACTCTGCATATAAGTTAAATAAGCAGGGTGACAATATACAGCCTTGACGTACCCCTTTTCCTATTTGGTAACAGTCTTTTGTTCCAGGTCCAGTTCTAGCTGTTGTTTCCTTACCTGCATACAGGTTTCTCAAGAGGCAGGTCAGGTGGTCTGGTATTCCCATCTCTTTTGGAATTTTCCACAGCTTATTGTGATCCACACAGTCGAAGGCTTTGGTGTAGTCAATAAAGCAGAAATAGATGTTTTTCTGGAACTCTCTTGCTTTTTCGATGATCCAGTGGATGTTGGCAATTTGATTTCTGGTTCCTCTGCCTTTTCTAAAACCAGCTTGAACATCTGGAAGTTCACGGTTCACGTATTGCTGAAGCCTGACTTGGAGAATTTTGAGCATTACTTTACTAGTGTGTGAGTTGAGTGCGATTGTGCAGTAGTTTGAGCATTTTTTTTTGACATTGCCTTTCTTTGGGATTGGAATGAAAACTGACCTTTTCCAGTCCTGTGGCCACTGTTGAGTTTTCCAAATTTGCTGACATGTTGAGTGCAGCACTTTCACAGCATCATCTTTCAGGATTTGAAATAGCTCAACTAGAATTCCATCACCTCCACTAGCTTTGTTCATAGTGATGCTTTCTAAGGCCCACTTGACTTCACATTCCAGGATGTCTGGCTCTAGGTGAGCGATCACACCATTGTGTGTGATCTGGGTTAGAAGTCATAATAAAATAGTAATTACAGAGGTCTTCTGTAATGGTTAAGAAACTGTTTAAAGCACAATTTAAAGAAAAGTTTATCAAGGAAGAGGCAGTGACTGGACAGGGGCAAAAAGAGAGTTTGAGGGGTACTTTCTGCTTCTTAATAAGTTTCAGTTTATTAGGTGACAAATTTATGACTTGTGTACTTTTCTGTATGTATAGTGCAGTAACTTTTTTTTTAATGAACAATACGAAAGACTTTTTAAGTTGACTGTATTGGATGTACATTATGCCTGCCTTAATCAGTGCCTTTGGTCCTTGGCTATGTTCCACCCAAAACAACAAAAAAGAGCCTCCCCATAAAAGTATCCTTTAAGGACTGAAAAATTTTAACAGTGCCTTTATTTTCCATACAGGACAGCACAATTATCTTTGTGCTGGAAGAAATGATTGTATCATTGATAAAATTCGAAGAAAAAACTGCCCAGCATGCCGCTATAGAAAATGTCTTCAAGCTGGAATGAACCTGGAAGGTAATGTAAATATTGAAAATGAATTGTCTTCGCATCATATAAAAATTTATCACTTTTTAAAAAAATACATAAGCAGATTTAATAATTAAAAGTAGGATTTTTAAAATGAGTATTTCATATTCTGCTTATTACATAGACTGACTTCATTATAGCCAAACTATAAACGAAGAAAGAAATCATGTAATAATGAAGCTTGTAAGACTTGACGAAACATTACTTTGGTCTTTATTTCTTTTTTCAAACTCAGTTGCTAGGGTTAGAAATGTAAATATATCTGTTATAGAAACATGTCAGAATTATTCTGTTATTTACCTTTTACTTTGCATATACATGTATATATCAACCTTTTATTTCAAATCTACAGTGGGGAAAAAGTGAAAAAAGCCTTTGATGGGTTTTTTTCAAGCAAACACAAAATCTGAAACTAGTTATGAATGAGTTTCATATTCCTGTTTATATAACAAGTATAATTAACATTGATCTCATTATTTGAAATCTTTTCTCTGGGGGAAAAAGTTTCAAATTTTGCTTTAGTTGAAGGTGGCAGTGGTGTACTTCAATTCATCAAGTTTTCACCAAAGCAGGCATTAGACATAAAATGAATAAAACAGTGTTTGTATTCAAAATCAGTAAAATAGTGCCTGTACTCAAGCACTTTTATTGTGTAGTTCGGTTGCAGAGTCAATCACAAAATCATACAACACACTATGAGACAAGTAGGAGCAAGAGGATGGTCACCTGATTATGTCCTAAAAGGCAAAAAAAAAAGCCAACACTGAGTTTTAAATCTAGAGAAGTTGAGTAGGAGTTAGATGGAAAATTGGGGCATAGACAGGATCAGACTTGAATTTTGCAAAGACTAATCTACGAACAAAGCTAGTGGAGGTGATGGAATTCCAGTTGAGCTATTTCAAATCCTAAAAGATGGTGCTGTGAAACTGCTGCACTCAATATGCCAGCAAATTTGGAAAACTCAGCAGTGGCCACAGGACTGGGAAAGGTCAGTTTTCATTCCAATCCCAAAGAAAAGGCAATGCCAAAGAAGGCTCAGACTACCACACAATGGCACTCAACTCACACACTAGCAAAGTAATGCTCAAAATTCTCCAAGCCAGGCTTCAACAGTACGTGAACTATGAACTTCCAGATGTTCAAGCTGGATTTAGAAAAGGCAGAGGAACCAGAAATCAAATTGCCAATATCCGCTGGATCATCAAAAAAGCAAGAGAGTTCCAGAAAAACATCGACTTCTGCTTTCCACAACAAACTGGAAAATTGTTCAAGAGATGGGAATACTAGACCACCTAACCTGCCTCCTGAGAAATCTGTATGCAGGTCAAGAAGCAACAGTTAGAGCCAGACATGGAACAACAGACTGGTCCCAAATTGGGAAAGGAGTACTTCAAGGCTGTATATTGTCAGCCTGCTTATTTAACTTAGCAGAGTACATCAAAATGCCGGGCTGGATGAAGCACAGGCTGGAATCAAGATTGCTGGGAGAAATATCAATAACCTCAGATGACACTACTCTCACAGCAGAAAGTGAAGAACTAAAGAATCTCTTGATGAAAGTGAAAGAGGATAGTGAAAAAGTTGGCTTAAAGGTCAATATTCTAAAAACTAAGATCATGGCAAATACATGGGGAAACAATGGCAACAGTGAGAGACTTTATTTGGCTGGAGGAGGGGGCAAAATCACTGCAGATAGTGACTGCAGCCATGAAATTAAAAGACGCTTACTCCTTGGAAGGAAAGTTATGACCAACCTAGACAGCATATTAAAAAGCAGAGACATTACTTTGCCAACAAAGGTCCATCTAGTCAAAGGTATGTTTTTTCCAATAGACATATATGGATGTTGAGAGTTGGACCATAAAGCTGAGCACTGAAGAATGGATGCTTTTGAACTGTTGGAGAAGACTCTTGAGAGTCTCTTGGACTGCAAGGAGATCCAACCAGTCCATCCTAAAGGAGATCAGTCCTGAATATTCATTGGAAGGACTGATGCTGAAGCTCCAATACTTTGGCCACCTGATGCAAAGAACTGACTCATAGGAAAAGACCCTGATGCTGGGAAAGATTGAAGGCAGGAGGATGAGATGGTTGGGTGGCATCACCGACTTGATGGACATGAGTTTGAGCAAGTTCCAGGAGTTGGTGATGGACGGGGAACCCTGGTGTGCTGCAGTCCATGGGGTCGCAAAGAGTCAGACAAAACTGAGTGACTGAACTGAACTGAATCTTGTATATTGTGCTACTAGAGGAAGGATGAAATCCATGTGCTTCTTCTGATAGAAAAAGAAAAGACACTAACTGATGGTGCTGTCCAGTACACACTGTGTACATGTTTTAAAACATAAAGTAGATTTATGGGTGTAACTACAGTCTAATTCCCCAATCCACACTCACAAGAACATTCTCAGTTCTTCATTACTACTTTGATAGCAAAAAAGATGAGTCCTTTCTTCACCATATTTACAAACATTCATGACACATCAATCACTTAGCCCAGTTTTTTCCAAGTATGCCTACGTTCTTAAACTTGACTACAGAGTGCCAATGTGTTAAACATTGATTTAAAGAAAATGATAAATGCCCATTTTCTTGTAGTTGTTACAAAAGCTACAGAGACTGACTACAAATTCATGTAGATGTTCAGTGCCTGGATAATTTATTACCAAAACCAGATAGTTATTCCTCATTTTTCTTTACATCTCTGTGCATATTTTAGTTTCATTTTCCTTCTCTCTGACCATTTAAATAAAATGGGATTGGTTTATATATATTGTCCTCCAGCCCCAGTTTTACTGCTTTCCTTTAATTCCCCAAGTATTCATCTCAGATATTTTATATTAGAAATAAGTTCATTCAAAGAATAAACTCAACATTTGGTCCTATCACTAAAATACAGTGTGGCTAGTTACCAGTAACATTTTTAGATGCTCTCCCAAATACACACCAAGTTTAACTTTCATCTTTGGAGCTCTAAGCAGTGTTAATCATCTTTTCACATGCTTATTGGCCATCTGTATACTTCTTCGGAGAAACGTCTCTTTAGGTCTTCTGCCCTTTTTTGGGGGGTGGTTTGGGTTTTTTTTGGCAAGTTGTGTGAGCTGTTTCTATGTTTGAAAATTAAGCCCTTGTTGAATCATTTGCAAATATTTTCTTCCTATCTGTAGATTGTCTTTTTATTTCTATTGCCTTGTGAGACTGACCTAAGAAAACATGGGTATGATTGTCAGAAAATCTTTTGCCTGTGTTCTCTTATAGGAGTTTTATGATAAGGTGAGAAAGACTTTAAAATCCTCCAGTTTGTCATTATCCTTTCTTCTGCTCTATTGTAGAGTGTAAGAAAACATATTCTAGACAAATTTAAAGTTATGGAAAAATACATTTCATGATTTTGAGGTCTGGGTGTAAGATACGATACCTTTGGTTGTTTGAAGAGCTTCCTTAATGTATAGGAGCTCTTCCATTTTTGTCATTTCTGTATAGACTTGGACTATGTGAATTCAGAATATTTTCCTACTGTATTTTACTACCAGTTGAGACAGTGATCATTCTTACATAGCACTTAAGGTGTGCCAAGAACTGTTTCATGCATTTTATATATTCTAACTGATTTAATTATCAACAGACCCTATGAGGGTAGGTACTGACATTATCCTCATTTTATAGAAAAGGAAACAAAGGCCCAGGGAATACCTTGCACAGATACCCAGCTACTCAGTGGCAGAGCCAGGATTATATTCCAGCATGTTGGTTTCATATTTATGCTCTCTACTGCACCACACTGTGTCTTCAATAGAGCATGGTAAAATAAATTAGAACATGTCTGTCATGATCGTGTTTCTCCGTTTTGAAATGTTAACTAAAAATTCTTAAATGTTTGAGCACAGAGCACAATAAGAAATGGGACCATTCTACTCAACATAAACGACAGGGTTTGTTTTTTTTCCCCCCCCTTCTAACACTGCACATGGATATACATAGTTCTTGCCCCCACATCTGTCCTCTGCAAACTATGTACTTGGTCATTTTAGGGACAGAAGATAGAATAATTACTTTTCCCTAGCACAGTGGTCTACATACCTGATAACTGAGACAGGCACACTACTGCTTTCATACAACTTACATTCCTGTCCCTCCCTGGAGTTCTGAGTAATTTCTCTTTAAGAATACTGTAATTTGCTTGCTTTGGCCCCACATATAACCAGAAAAGAGTATTTCATTTGTCACTGGAACAAGTAAATTCAAGAATATGAATATGTCTGCTAAAAAAACCTACAGAATCCATCTTTTAATTCAATTATACTGTTCCAAACTAAGTAAAAAATAAAAGTTAAAATGGAAAATATATTTCAAAAATGAAAATAGATATTTTAGGTTTATAAAATCATCAGTTAAAATCTCTTATAAAAGAAATTATACCGAGTGGTAATTTATATAAAGAAATGGTTTTCTCTGAATGTCCACAAAGATTTTAAATCCCATATAGTATACATCATATTAAGGTGAAATGTGGACCTTTCTGCATGCATGATCTCTTGTGCAAGACGATAAACAGCATCACTCTCTTCATTATACCCATAATTTAGACTAACCCTAATATAGTTACTGGTATTACAAACTTAAATTCTTCCTTTCAGTCGATAGTAATTTGCCTTATAAAACTAATACAAGTTTTTACTTTGGAGTGAAATTGAGACAAATTACTTTAATGGAAGAATATGTAAGTGATATGTTTATATTGTTTTAACATAGTAAGATTTAATTTTAACTATAATGAAGTAACTGTCTTATTTGTAGAGGAAATTAAATGAATGGGTTCCCCTTGATTCTTTGCTTTCAGGGAAAAAAATGTGTTTTTCCCTTCTTTCATGTCACTTTATCATAACTGCTACATAAAAGATTTCTCCTCTTTCAAATTAGTTTCAGCAACTGAAATACCTCTTGAATAAACTATGCTGCCCAGACTTTCCCATTACAGCTGATTTCTGTGTATTTTTTTTTAATATACCCACAGCTCGAAAAACAAAGAAAAAGATAAAAGGAATTCAGCAGGCCACTACAGGAGTCTCGCAAGAAACTTCTGAAAATCCTGCTAACAAAACAATAGTTCCTGCAACATTACCACAACTCACGCCTACGTTGGTGTCATTGCTGGAAGTCATTGAACCTGAGGTGTTATATGCAGGATATGACAGCTCTATTCCAGATTCAACTTGGCGGATCATGACCGCACTCAACATGTTAGGTGGGCGGCAGGTGATTGCAGCAGTGAAATGGGCAAAGGCAATACCAGGTAAGATGCAAAAGATACCACCACTAAGGTGTAAACCTTAGAATGTTTTACATAAAACACTCTGGCTCTGTATCACCCTGGTCCCATGGCTTCCTGTCATCCCTACTTAATCTAGGGGTAAAGAGGTATAAATATCAGGAGTGGATTTTTTTAACTTAAATCCACTGAATGAGTAATGTCTGCCAGGACTCTTGGCTTTCTGTTTTGCTTTTTAATATAGCATTTTACTATTTAGTCATATTTACTCAAATAAGCAAAAGGTGACAAAAACTGGCTACTCTTTTTTCTAACATTGAATACTATTAAAAAAAATTACTCAGAGCTTTGGTCTTACCTGTCAAATGGCAAAGGAAAACTGTGTCCACTTAACACTTCATTTCTTCTATTAGTCTTCCAAAACTGTCTTTGGCAGTTCCCAGAGAGAGGATCTTCTCTTTGGCAACGAGAGTGTTTCCTCATACCTTTTATTCCTCTTAATTCAGGATTCAGGAACTTACATCTGGATGACCAAATGACCCTACTGCAATATTCATGGATGTTCCTCATGGCATTCGCCCTGGGGTGGAGATCATACAGACAATCAAGTGCAAATATGCTATGTTTTGCTCCTGATCTGATTATTAATGAGTAAGTCACTTGTGAGTCTTTTTCCCTGTATTCATATTCCTTCAGGACTGAATCAATCCTACCAGGTTATCTTGGAACTGGGCAACCTACCAAGCATCTTGAAGCAGAGTTTATCAATGCTTAAGGCAGGCCAGAATGTACTACAGAGCAAATTACATGTGGTGCTATTACGTACCAGGACATACTGAAGGATATTTTGTAAATAGCATCTCTTGGGGTCAGTAAAGTCTATAGCAAGGGAAAAGGAAACTTACTGTGGCATTGTTTTAATTATATGATCATATTTCAGAAAGGAAACAGCATAATACAATTCATGTTGATCTTACTTTCAGCAGGGACAATGAACAGATGAGGACAACTAGGATGAAGGGCTGACAGATATGGACCCAAAGACAAGAAGCATCTCTTTGCATGGCAAGGCTCACTCAATGTCTATGAGTTGTAAAGAAAATGGGAGAAAACCAACCACACTAAGATCTGATAAATGAGCTATCCTCTAGTTCTCTAGGTCTATGCTGTGAAATATTTCAAATACCTATTCGCCCTTACCCATTGCACTTGTTTCCTAACCAGCTTTCTGCTGCCCGTGTATCCTCCATCATGCTAAGTTTTTCTTCTTAACACACAGGTGTCTTCACTGAGCACTCAGTGCATACTCAGCATGGTTTCTGGCTTTCCAGAATCTGGCCTCACTTTATCTCTTGTTATTATCCTTCACATACTCTTTTTCCCCTCAGATGATCAGTTCTTCAAACATACCCCTAGCTCATGATGGTCATACCACCAGGTAAAAACCTCTCTGTTGTATATCCCTAGCCTTTATCACATTCTACCTTTTATTACTACTTTTGCACTCACAGCTTATCTCCTTTATTAGATAGCAAACAGGGAAGTCACACACACTCACATATGCATACCCACTGATCTGGGCAGAAGGAGATCTGTATTCATGTGAAAAAAAGATTTAATTGTGAGCTCTGGGTGCTGTCGACTATGGGGTCCAAAAAAAAAAAAATTAATGAAAATCTTCAACTATGTTACTGGAATAACAGTCTCACTATACTCAATGTGAGTTGATCCATCATTAGTAGTTCCTGTTCAGAACTGGATCCCATATTAAAAAAAACTATGTCCAGAGTGGCAATAAGTTTAGAAATTAACATCTATTGATGAACAGAGGATGTGTAAAGGAGAAAAGGAATGATGAGGACTGCCTAAAAAGATATCCTATGAAAATCAAGCAGACATATTGTTTTCACTGTTGGGTGTACCAGGCACAAAAATAATGTGTAGAAGTTATTAAAAAAAAAAAAGCATCTATTTGAGCTGAGTGTTAAACAGCAGGGCTTGCCTCATGACACAGTAAAGGTCAAATTTTATCTGTTTAGTAGAGTCTAGATGATACTAGCTCTAGATATTTTAAGAGGCTTAACTGCTGAGTTAAACTTGGCGGTGTATCTCTATTGGTGATACTTATTTTCCAGCACAGTATTCATTTAATCATATTTGAGTACTTAACAAGTGTCAGACACTGTTTTTAAGAGCTTGAGCTATACTACATAAGGCTCTGCTAACATACCAAATAAATGACCAAATTTATTTCAGAGAGCCATAACATAATAGTATGGGGTGCCATAGAAGACCTCTCTAAATATCTGAGAACTGAATAGTACAAAAGAACAAGCTTATAGGAAAGGTAGGGCATTTCAGGCAGAAGAGATGACTACAAAGGCTGAAAAACAACCTTGGCATATGTGAGGAACTGAGAGAAAGCCAATAAGGACTTTCTGTGAGTTTAGAGAAGTGGACAGGGACCAAGTCAAGCAGCATCTTGAAAGCCATGAGACAGAGTTTGTTTTAGGAGCATGAAGAAGCCAGCACTGGGAGGAGAGAGGGGCAGTTTCAAACAGGAAAACCGATTACAGGGGAACATCAAATACTTACCACCTCCTAGTATGTGCCTGCTACAGTATTAGCAGAGAACAAGACAAACAAGGTTCCCTGCCTTTATTGCTTACACTCTAGTTGCGGAGACACAGATAACCATCAAATAAAATAAAATTTGAGTTTTTACTAGACAGAGGTCATTTTCAGAGTAACTGAATGAGGCGTGAAGGAGAAAAGCCCAGGCTTCATGGGTAGAAGCGACATGACAAGAGGCCTGTGAAGGGTGTGCTTTAACCAAACTCTGCCTTCTATTAATTCTATCCTTTTTCGTTAGTAGGCACTGGCATGTGCTTAATCAGGCCAGATCTCCACACATACTTTCAAGTGTCTACTTCAAACACAAATGTCACCCTGACTGACTATTGCCAAAAAAGGACTGCTCAATCCACTGTGCTGTGGCTGAACAAGATTTAAGTTTTTTGATTAAATTTAACTAGTTAAAAATATGTAGCTTATATGTAAGCTTAAACACCTTTGAAATCTCTTAAGTACTTGCTGCTCATTTCAGAATCTGACCATGCTCACTTTAGAAGTTAAAAACATGTTGACAATGTCTATAGTCACTGTCTAAAAAGAAAGTTGAAGTCATTAATTGGGAATAAAAGTGTGGAGTTACGATATGAAACACCAACATATCTTTTATAAAATTAATCTGACTCAGAGTATTTATTTGGGAGGGTACTCAAATTTAGATTTAAACCATCATAGCATAACCTGACATATTTCTTAAAGTAGGAATTACAGAAATTTTTTCTCAGTGTTTGACTTTATTTGAGGATGGATGGCTTACAGAAACAATAGTTTTTAAGTGGGCATTCTATTTCCCATTCTTGTCTCCTTATTTTTTCCTTAAGTCCAAGGTCACTTTTTGTCAAAAAATTTTAAAACAGATCTTATTTTAAACCATGAAGAGACACAGTTTCAGGCTCTTTGTGTCATTTAAAAGGTTAAGAAACTTGAGAGATCTACTTGAAAATCATAGATGTGATCGTAACTGTTGAGAACCCTAACTGAGAATTCATTTTGTAGTACCTTTATTTGGAAGAATATTCAGTCACATAACATTGGTCAGAGGCAGATTTTGGGTATCAGAAAGCCTAGAGTCAAGTTTTATTTCTGACCCTCTCCATAACTATAAACATTATCACACACAGTTGTCTTTAGAATGCAGTGCTATGAAAAAAATAACTTGATTTTCAACTGGGTAAGATTTAAAACTGTGTTGTCTAACTGCTCATATTTAAATACTACAATAAAAGCTTGATTTAAATGAAAGACTGATAAAAGATTCTATAGGAATAAATTCTAAATACTTAAGGAAAGCTTTCCAAAATTCACATCAGAGGGAATTCACATTAATTGCAATAGTTAGATGAGTTAATAAACGTTTTGCAAAATAGAAAAGTACTTTTTGCGGAACAAGAATTACTTCTCTTTAATTCAAACACTTGATATTTGTCTTTCACAGGCAGAGAATGGCTTTACCCTGCATGTATGACCAATGTAAACATATGCTATATGTTTCCTCTGAGTTAAACAGGCTTCAGGTATCTTATGAAGAGTATCTCTGTATGAAAACCTTACTGCTCCTCTCTTCAGGTTGGTAGAACATCTATTCTCTTCTAAAATGAACTTCTAAAATATGTCAAAAACATAAAACGTAGAAGTCTAGAAATAAAGGTTTGTTTGTATACAAAGCACTAAATAATTGATACCAAGTCTACTATTTCCTGGTACTTTAGATTTTCATAAATGTAAAATTTTAGAAAGGCTAAGATTAATAAGATTAGATAGGTATCATGGAGAAATGGAGAGGTATACGAACCACATGGCATGGAGGAGGAAGTCACTGCTGATCTGGAATATCTATAGCCTTCTTCCTTCCTACAACTTTTTACACTTCCACTACAGAAGACAGGCCAACTTGAATGATTTTTCTCTACACTACTGTTCAGTTCACTCACTCAGTTGTGTCTGACTCTTTGTGACCCCATGGACTGCAGCACACCATGCTTCCCTGTCCATCACCAACTCCTGGAGCTTGCTCAAACTCAGTTACTTAGTCAAAAATTTTAGTTATACAATGACTAATAGTACATTAGTAATAGTAATACAATGACATATTTCATACTATATAGAAGAAATTATGGATGGGACCTTAATTTAAAAGCTTTTGCACAGCAAAGAAAACCATCAACAAAGCAAAAAAAAACAACCCATAGAATGAGAGAAAAAATTTGCAAACGAAGTGAACAAGGGATTAATCTCCAAAGTACACAAACAATTCATGCAGCTCAGTATCAAAAATGAAACTACTAAGTCAAAAAATAGGCAGCTCTAAACAGACATTTCTCCAAAGAAGACATACAATGGCTAAACAGCACATGAAAAGATGCTCAACATCACTGATTATTAAAGAAATGCAAATCAACAGTACAATGAGGTATCATATCAGTCAGACTGGCCATCAAAAAATTTAGAAATAATAAATGCTGGAGAGGGTGTGGAGAAAAGGAAACCCTTTTACACTGTTGGTAGAAGCATCAATTGGTACAACCATTATGGAGAACAGTATGTGTTGTGCCTGCTGAGTTGCTTCAGTCTTGTCCAACTCTGCAACCCTATAGACTGCAGCCCTCCAGACTCCTCTGTCCATGGGATTCTCCAGGTGAGAATACTGGATTAGGTTGCTATGCCTTCTTCCAAGGGATCTTCCCAAGGCAGGAACTGAACCTGCATCTCTTACATCTCCTGCATTGGCAGATGGGTTCTTTACCACTAGCGCCACCTGGGAAGCCTCATTATACAGGTTCTTTCAAAACTAAAAATAGAACTACCATATGATCTAGTAATTCCACTCCTGGGCATATAACTAAAGAAAATCATAATTCCAAATACATGCAGCACTCCAGTGTCCACTGCAGCACTATTTATAATAGCCAGCAACTTAAATGTCCATCCACAGAGAAACACATAAATAAG